TGTGTCTGGGATCAATCGAACTAGCATACAAACCATTTTGAAGAAGAATAGATTCCATCCATACAAAATACATTTAGTCCAGGAACTTCGTGAGGATGATTATGACCGCCGTTTGCAATTTTGCGAAATCTTTATTCTTGTATGGAAGCGGGCGGTCATCAGTTTGAACATTTAATCAACTAAGTAGTAAATAAGCAACTAAACATAATTTAAATTTTAAAATGTAATTTTTTTTCAAAGTATTGGGCGGAATTATAAAATTTAAAGTCTGTTGTAAATTGTAAAGAGAATTGTAAGAGCTTTCAAAAGAAATATTACTCAACCCCTAATGCCATTTAAATATTTTGGGGTGATGCTTACCCTTGCTTGGGGGTGAAAGTGGCGGAGTCAAAAATACCAGCAAAGAATGTCCCCTTTTAATCTAAAATCGACGGGTCTGAACGATTTTCTACAATCGTGACGCAGTTCCTGAAAATGGCTCTGTCTCGTTTTCATTTGGCCACCCTGTATATAACTATCTCACGCTCGTGCGTCGTATATTTCATTTTGCATCTAAGGCTAAAAAATAAAAAACTTTCCAAGTTGCATATTTGAAATTAAAAAAAAAGATAGATTTCAATGTATTATTATAAAATTCACCGTGAAAAAAATCAGTGCGATTGTGGAAGTTGCTCGGGATCGTCCAGACTTAAATTAGTTAATTTGTTTACAAGGCCATAACTTGTAAACTATTCAACTTACCGATTCCACATTTCGTGCGAGTTATTAGACAGTGATAAGAAGTGAGAGGATGCGATGCCAAAACGTTCTGGTAATAATAATAATAATAATGCAGTTTATAAATGTTTAATTCAAAAGTCATAAATAACTTCTTCTGTTTATAACTTTTGATCTAATCAATATTTTTTGACGCTCGAAGGCTAGTCTTGTAGGTCTTTTGAAGACGAAAGAAAGAAAAGTACATTACTGTTTTCTCGTGGAAATGAACGGAAAAAAGTTATAAGCGAAAAACTTGAATTTACGTAGATTTATACAATTAACCACCCTGTAAACAATCTTCCCCCCTTTTTTATGACTGTGGCAACTAATATGTTATTTTACATAATATTTAGCATCTACAGTAATAAATTCAGCTTACCGAAACAAAAAGTCGCGAAATGGTCATTTCCCAGCTTATTTTCCTGGCCTATATGTTTTGTTTACTACTGATTTGCCCTTACGGGAGTGTCGCCATCTGTTATTTTCATTCTTAAGTATGACTTAACCACAAAATCAAGTTTAAGGCTCATTGTATCTTACCCTATACTACAGCAAAATCTACTGGTATTTTTACTTAATTCTACATAAATATTTACTAATTTTTTTTCAAAGCATATTTTTACATTTACTCTACTTAAGCGGATGTATTGTTTTTAAAATCCCTCAACATATTTGGAAAAAACTATACTTACTATACTGTTAATACAAACTATAACTGGTTTATTCGGGATTGTAAGTATATTGATATCGAACAGTATCGTAGTTCAAATGAACCGTTTGCAGATCATTTGGGACATACGGAACAAACTGAACAAAGTTGAGGAACTGGAAGTCCTGACCCCTGCACAGCAGAGGTACAGAGCCCATATGAATTCTCTGATGGAGTGGATGAAGAACGTTCACGATTTGGCATTAGTCAGGCCTACCGCCATATCGGATCCTAGGTATTCCCACAGGGGTGCAATCACAGGTAAACACAAACTATTAGATAAAAAAAAAACAATACGAAATCGGTCTGACGATTGTTTTTATGACCTTATTTCTGCATAAGGAGTCGTATTTAATACGGTTGCTGTTGTACGGTGATAACAAAATTATATCTACGGCTATGGAAGAGATTCGCGAACCAATAGATGGCGTTATAAATTTTCAAAATGTCGTTTCGGTGATCAAGTACTTGTTTGCAATTATGGTAGCGCCATTTTGAGTGAAATGTTTTTAATTATTTGACCGATTTCCAAGGATACAGATTGGGGGAATATTAAAGTGTCATTTATTCATTTAAAATGTAACCTTTGAGTGTGTAGTGGTGTTTCGGAGTATTTGGTACCATACACAAGAGCATTGATATTTATGCGCAATTCAAGTAGGTTTCAAACTCAGGCTAATATTACTCTGAGGTTTCAAACTATCAGGGATTCCCTACGCAACAAATCATATACAGTGAAAATGTTAACTGGAACAAATTCTGTAACTTAATAAAATAATGGTTTGTCGCAAAATGGCAGAAACACATCAATTTTTATTTTTAAGGGGCAATTTTTTTTTTAATTATGGGAAGGGGTTACAGCAACCCCCAACTTTTTTCCTGTAAATACGAAGGATAGGCTGATAAATTTTTTATTTTAAAGCTTTTTTGTTATTTTTTATAAGCAATAAAGTGTCGGAAAAAAATTAAATAAGGAAATGTGAATGGTTGGGAGGTTTCTACATTTTGGGCCTAATATAAACTTGCAGGCATCACATGGATGTCGCCATTTTACGAGATCTCGAAAATCGGCAACCTTATGGAGATTCCAGACGAGTGGGAGCAGATGTCCATGCAATTCATGACTAGCAGTGAAGACGGCACCGTCCTGGTCTGGGACCTATTGAAAAGACCCAAAATCGAGGCCGGAGGCTACAAAGTCAAGAAGCTCAAAAGACTGAAGAAAAAACCTAGTGCTTTGATGGTAAGATTTTGTCATTTAATGTACTCGTAATATTTCGAGTTCCGGCGTAGTTGCGATGCTGCCGCGTTTCGACCGCACTTCCCGTAAATGAATATCTGTCATAGGCATAAGCCATTGCAACAACAATTTGGAACAAAGAATCCACAAAAATAACATCTAATTCAGAATAGAATCCAAGTGTTTGTCGCTTTGTGTACGTAGATCGACGTTTCTCCGTACCAGTCGCTCCACCTGAACCTGAGGCCCATCTACAGGTTGTACCTTCGCAGATCGGGGGACAAAAACAAGAACAATATGGCGATATCCAGCTGTTACGCCAAGTTCTGCAAGGTGAGGTACGTCGAACGCCCATCGACGGGGAAGAAAAACTTAGACGACCGCACGTACTACGTCCCGGTGTTACATAGAGAGACACGCCATGAAGTCCTCCCCAGAATCCACCTGGGCACGATGGAAGGTAAACCTACCGTGATTGCGATGTTTTAAAGCACTGTGTTCAGTTTGTGAATGTCAGTATCAACGACCTCTGTTTGTTCGTGTGTTTTAAAGGCGACTACGCCCTTCTGAGGTGGGACGGGCAGGATTTCGACTCGGGCGAGGTGGTCAACTCCGAGGTGGGAGTACCTTTGAACTTCGGCAAGTACCACGACGGTCCCGTCACGTCCTTGCACACCCCTAGCGCTTACAACGTCTACCTGACGGCGGGCGGTAGGATCTTTGCGCTTTGGAGGGACGACTTCAAGGACAAGCCGATCCTTTGGAGGAGAACTAGGTCCAAGATGACCTCCGCGAAGTTCAATATGTTTCAGGTGAGTTGTTTGCTCGTTCAAGTTGGTTAACCTAATTTGTTTATCCCAGAAACAGATAGAGATAAAAGGAGAAAGTACACTGAAAGAAATGCGTTTTATTCTATATTAGAATTCTATATACCATTATAAGACCATTGTATATATATATGACATATATACATATATGACATATATATATGACATATATATATTGTATATATATATGTGACAGTTAAACGGGTGACTATTGGATATAAAACGCGTATTGCTAGCACAGTTGTATAGTGAATATAAACCTTATTCTTTATTAAATTATTGTATAACTAGTATACAACGTTTTTTATACCCTTTACGAAATAATAGCAATAAGTGTTATTAAAGTGTTCCATATCGTTATTAGAACATCTAGTACTGGTTATAAGTTTTATAATAATAAATGTATTAAACTGTTGTATACTCTGTATGAGTTAAAAACATATGTCATTAAGTTTTCAGAAATTTTATTGGATAACTGTAATTACATGCTAATGTAAACATACATAAAACATACTTTTAAGCATTAAAAATGATGACAAATCGCTCCCAAAACTGTCCAGTTTATTTTCTTAGCAACGATGCACCCGTATTTTCTTGTATTACATGAGAATTTGCACTATAACTGTTCCACCTTAAGAATGAAGCATCCCCAGAAAGGTTGAGCTTCTTTCCATCTAATTTTATTTCCTCTGGTTGATTGACTTTATACCCATGCTCTTCTTTGTCACCGTTAGCCTTCTGTTCCTCCATCTTATGTAAAACTTAACATCAGCGATTTCTAATAGGACCTACAAAATAATAATTTTTAAGATTTAGACAAGATTTACATTTGAAAAAACAAAACAATTACAAGCCATAAAACAGTTAGATACTTACATAATAATTTTCCATTTCACACAACGCGATATGATCATGTATCCCACAAAACATGTGCATATACTGTCCATTTTCATCAAACTAGACGTGTGTAAGTCGATGCACAGCGGACTGTCGGAAATTTTACGATTGTTGTATTTTCTCTTCTTGAGTAAAGATAATAAAGACGTTGTGGTTTTGTGTGTTTATTTTGACAATGATTGAACATATATGGACAATAAAAGTGGACTGTATAAGATAGTTGAGTACCGTTCTGCTTCATGCATAGCATGCTACTGAAATCTTAATATAACTTAACAACGATCATAACCGATTATGCACCGAGAGGTGACGATCACTTAACCATTATAAGATGCGTTTTACACGTTAAAAACGGAAACATATTCAGTATAAGAACGAATAATTCTGTTAATACAGTTGTTATATACAAATTCGGATACTGGTCTTTATACAACAAATCTTCCCTACTATACAACTGGAATATAAAGTCTATAACACCTAATAATGTATAAGTAATTCATTATAACCTTTATTTCATAGATGCATAAGGTGTATTAAGCACTTTCCAGTTAAACTGATTGAATAATGAGTATGGAGGTGATTGCTTTTTTTTAATAAAAGTTGTATATTGGTTATAAAAGTTTTAATATGCGCTATACACATTATTCTAGATAAACAGTTTAATAAGCCCATTTCTTTCAGTGTAAACTGATAAAATAAATCCTACAAGCTCACATTTTTTACAATATTTTACTGCTACAAATAAACAAGTTGAGGTGGGTGGACCTTATAGAAAATCACCCTGTACAATATGAGAACGTGTAGCTCGAAAAAACCATCAAAAATCGACTTTTTCTTTTTTTTTAGTGTATCTTTTGCAAAGCAAGGTTCTGAAACTTGTTTCTTGCTGTAAATGTAGCCCTCGGCAAGCAAAAAAGTGCCTTTTTTAATCAAAAAAAATTAAAACATTTTCGAGTTATATCGATTTTTCGAAAATAAAGTCGTCTCGAAAATCGGCGGAATTCTCGACGAATAGTCATAGAGAAACGAATCTGGGCTCATTTTTTTCCTTCAGAGTTGTACTTTCATGATAAAAGAGAGTGATAACGATTTTATTCATTTCAAGCGGCCAAAAAAGTAATTTTTTTGGTCGCGTTTTTCTTGAATATCTTTTTAGATTTTCATTTCCCGGTAATGTCTATTACAGGAATCGATTGCTGGCATTTTTACGCGAATTAAAAAAAAATTGCTCTACGACCTTCTGGACCCGATATTTTTTTTTTCAAAAAATTCCACAGGCCGCTATTTAACTGCTACAGCATCCATTCTTATAGAGATTGAAGTTGAAGACATATATTTTCAATAAAAAAATACTGTGATTCATTTTAGCCACCTCTGTATTTTTTGTAGTGTATCTTGTAGTTCGACGAAATAAACGAAAATATGACGTTTACGACGGTCTCAAAAGCATAATTACCTTTGAAAAATGTAAATTTAGACTAGGCGGTACCTGTTTTGGTTTGGGTGAATCGTATATCCACGGAGATTTTTGGCCTTCAAATATCACTAGAAATGAAAATTTTTCTGTTAAAAAAATTCGAAAAATATTATATTTTTCTTCCTATTTAATTATGTATCTTTTCAAGAGTTGATTTTAGGCGAAAATGGAAGAGGAAAAAATGTTTGTAATTAAATTTTTTACAAAATATGCCTAGTTACAAATCGAATGAATTATGATTATTATTGTAAAAAATCGCCAAATAACATTACTTTTTAGGTCTTTAAATTGGGTATAGGACCTTCATACTTGGCTCAAGAAAATTTCATGCTATGTAGAATCATCACACCAAATTTCATCAAAATCGGTTCGCTAGATTTTGCAAAATAATTTTGCAATCCAGATTTAGAAAAAAAAATTGCTAATTTTCAAAATTGTGCACAGCAAAAACCCAGGCTATTAGATACTTGAAAATTTAATCAGATATAGAAGGGAAATAATTAGGAGAGCTTTGGCGCCTGTTTAAACATTGGTCGAATTTTTGTACTTAAACAAATTAGAATAACTGTGAAAATTCAATCAAATCAAATTTTTTAAAGCAGGTTTTAAAAGTTATTGGAAAGACTCTTCTTTAAAAAAAAAACAGATCGATTGGTCAATTAGTTACGTAGTTATAGCCGATCACAGTTAACCGTCATTTACACTAAATGTACTGGGACATCCGGGCTAATTTTTCGAAAGGTACTTTTGGTATCCCGAGTACTTACCAGGTATAAGTTTGCAATACTTTTCTTCATTGGCAACCTACTTTAAAACGTGTTTAAAGTTATTTATGCAAGCGAGAAATTCAAGAAAATCGTAGGGGTGGTGGTGGTTGGGGAAGCAGAGAGCGCGGCCGCTTCGGCCTGCTCGAAATTGAATAGGCGAGTTCAAAACCGCGAAGCACTTAAAAATTTTTAATATCTCACCTTCTAGAGGTCCGATTTTGTTGATTTTTTTAAAATCGATGGTTCGCGATTTAAAAAAATAATTAGCGTATTTTCAAATGCCTATCGTTTATAATTATTGGTCTTTCAACAGTCCGATAATTATTTATCTTTAAACTTCCTTTAATTATCAACTTTATTTTTTTATTGTATCAAAGGTAAGTCCATAAACTTATATACTGTTCATCAAAGATCAAAAACAAATTTATTTAAATATTCTAAAATTGTTTAAACAACAATTATTTTCAAAATATGTCGAAAATTAGTAATATAATGAGTTAAATTCTCATAATAACAATAAATAATATTTGAATTATACTTTAATCGCAAAAGAAATTATTATTAAATTCATAAATTAATTATAAAAAGTCAATAATATTTTAAATTTAAATTAAAAAAATATTGATTTGGTTGAATATTCACAAAGTTATTCTAATTGCTTATATAAGTACAAATTTCGACCAATGTTTAAACAAGCGCCAGAGCTTTCCTAATTGACGGATTCGAATTTTACAAAAAGCGTTTGAAAGCTTGAGAGCCCTTCTATATGTGATTAAATTTTCAAGTATCTAAGGGCCTTGGTTTTTGCTGTGCAAAATTTCGAAAATTTACAAATTTTTTTTTCAAAATCTGGATTGCAAAATTATTATGCAAGATCTATCAAACCGATTTTGATGAAATTTGGTGTGATGATTCTACATAACATAAAGTTTTCTTGAGCCAAGTATGAAGGTCCTATACCCAATTAAAAAACCCCAACAAAAATCCTTAAAGTAATGTTTTTAACCCCATTTTTGGCGATTTTTTCGATTTTTACAATAATAATCATGATTCATTCGATTTGTAAATAGTCATATTTTGTAAAAAATTTAATTACAAACATTTTTTGCCTCTTTCCATTTTGGCCTAAAATCAACTCTGGAAAAGATACATAATTAAATAGGAAGAAAACATGACATTTTTCGAATTTTTTTAACATATTGCTCCGCCAAAAGGTAAGCCCACTTTTTTTTTATGCGCATAGAAAAATTTTCATTTCTAGTGATATTTGAAAGCCAAAAAGCCAAAAATCTCCGTGGATGTACGATTCACCCAAATATGGACTTTTTGAAACGGATACCGTCTGGACTATTTTCCTTTAGTCTAAAATTCTCTCACCTCTTGTTAACATTTTAATAATTATTTATAACAAATAATATCGCCATCATAAAACTGTCACTTTCTTTCAGGTTTTATTACATTTTAGTTGTTTTTATGACACTGAAATTATGTGGGTTACGGTACAATTAATTTGATATTTTAATTTTTATTTAATTATAAGG